AATTCTTATCGGATTGTTTGATATGTAGCACATTAATTTCAGAATCATTTTTTTTTTTTTTTTTTGGCTATTGAAAAAAAAAGTAGGGATAAAAGGAGCGTCTAAAAACTAAGTTAATAGACCTTCACTAGTGGGATTCTGAGGTTATTGATCGTGCTCGTTACTTCTCTAATAAATGAATCTAACTAGTCTAATATAACAGTTAATTATTGAACTTTCATATAAACTCCAAGATTCAAACCCCTACTTAGAGGCATCGTTTTTCTGACTTTCTTTTGTTGAGACATCCCCCCCGCCACACACACAATCGTACCCAAATGGGGACGATTTCTTAATCAATTCAATAATTCTGATTTTTTGTGGTAAGGATGATTGGCACTACATTGTGGGCCCCCCCACATATAAATATAAAAAGGGATTTCAACGGGAAAATCATTAATAAAAACATCTAGATTCACATATTTCGTGTCAAGAATTTCAAAGGGATTGATTATAAATGTATCCATTTTTTTCAAAGTCACATCTATCCCATAATTATCCCAACCCAAATCAAGACATATCTATGCCATTAATTTTACATAATAATATTAAATATTTGGAGTCGTATAAATTAAAATTTATTTAAGGAGCATTCATTATTTCATAGAAATTGGGGCACCAGAATCTGTTTACATAGGGAGGACTAGCCGATCCAACTTTGAAACCATCAAGATAGGTTCTAATTATATTTTTGTTAAAACAATTTTAGGATAGGTCAATATACATGTTTAATCATTTTTTATTGTGTTAAAACACTTTTTAATTGGTCTTAATTTATATATTTATGAGTTTTGTGTTCTATGTTTTTAGTGGTATTGAAATTGGCCTAAAACAGACAATTATTTTTGTACGATTATCTATTTATATATATTTTTTGATTGATGATTTATTGTGTTTGAGTTGGATTTTGATTGTATTACTATACTTTCTACTCAAAATTTTTGTTTAATGGCTTTACTATTTTGATACCTTGATTTTAATCTTAGGAAATAGTCTATAAAATAAATTAAAAAAAAAAGATTGTGAAAAATTAGTTGTGTAACGAATTAAATGATTAATAGATGATGGAGAGCTTGATTGTACAATAAGATGCTTGCAAGTGTCATAGATAATAAGTTTACGATGTAATGCTCTCGAATTATAAATAATCATTTGACCAGTTAAAAACTTGTGATTAGCCTCACATTTTTAAAAAAGTTGTAATTAGTCTTTTTTTTTGGGTTCTTTTTCTTTGTGTGTTGATAGACTTTTGGACTTTCATTGTTAGTAAATATTCATATATACATAATACAATATATAGTGTAATAAATGTGTGCCCACCACCCTAAGGAATTTTTCTGACTTCGCCACCAGATGAAACTCATACGAGATTTACGCTCTTGAAAATCTGCACCTTTTAAAATGTAGAAAACAAAAGAGATTTTACGATTCGATTCGTAAAGAATTTTTCGCATTTGATTATCTAAACACAAACCCTGACCATGGAGCATTCTCCTGGCCAGACACAGCCCATGGGCTGCACATTATTGACTTTCATTCTTTCATATTTAATTTTCACAGTTTTTCATTTTAAATTATAATAAAAACAAGTAAAAATTAGGACTGATTCCTCTTTAATGGACTTATAATGACTTGAATCTATCAAAGAAACTTATTTGAAAATAAGTTTATTTTTAATCTTACTAATAAATAGTTAAATCCACTATTTTTTTAAAATTCCAAAATACCCTTCTTTGAAAGGACGTTAAACTAATTTCCTATCTTGAAAATTGTTATCCATTAATTCAATGTTAATTAAAATATGTCAATAAAATCTCTATTGTAAAATTAAAATTCAAAGCTCTCTCGCTCTCTCTCCCTCCGGCCAACTAATAGCGACATCGTTGTGGTTGCAAGCAATGCTAAATCCATCAAGGAACTGATTCGCAAATTAGCGCAAGAAAACTTTTTTCACTCACCTTTGAATATTGTTAAGGTTTCAAAAAAAATTATTTGTCTGTTCTTTCTTTGTTTCTCAAAACTCAAATTGTTGTTTCATATTATCTATCTATGTGTGTATTTGTTTTATATTATCTATCTATGCGTGTATTTGTGTATTTTTTAAAAATATTATTATTATTTGGACTTGAATGTATCATGTTACTATTTTTTTTTTACTATGTTACTGTTTTTGTTAAATATGTTATTGTTCATATTATTATTATTTTGAGCATGTTACTGTTTTTATTGAACAAGTTACAACTATTATTTTCCTAAATATTAATATTCAATGAAACTATTTTATTTGTTTTTGAATATTATTATTTTTAATTTTATATATATAATCTTATTCTATATATGAATATAGATAGATATGAGAGAGATAATTATTGTTAAACATGTCACTAATTTTGTTGAGTATGTTACTATTTTTGTTGAATATGTACTATTGTCATTTTTAAAAATTTTAATATTGAATGTTAGTATTTTTTTTATGTTTAAATGGTATTATTTTTTTTGTTTAAATGATAACCTTTTTTTTTTTGTATTTGAATGTTACTATTTTTTATTTTTAATGTTACTATTATATAGATATACTAGCAATTTCTTGTGCCTGAAGGCACAGTGTACCATAATAAAATCACCGGAATAAAAAATTAAATCCACAAAAATTAGCAAACGAAAAAAAAAATCATAGCACCCACAAATACTATCATAGCATCAAATTGACTATCATGTCAATATTTTCAACCCTATTAAATTCTCACATAATAACTTAGTACTCACAACAATGAAAATAAAACATTGCGCCTTATATATGTATTTAATTTTTGTATCATTCTTATTTGTTATTTATATTATTAATATATTTTCTTCAATAAAAGTTATTTAAATTTGAATTATTTAGTAAAGATTGTTGTTTTGTGTTGCTCATTAAATATTAAATTTGTATGATTCGTGTTTTAGTATTGTTTGGATGAAAAATTATAATTATTTAGTAAGAATTTGTATGATTCGTGTTAAGTGCAATATTTTGGTAAATGTTTGAATTATAATATTGTAGTAGTTGATAAGTAGTTGTATTAAAACAGGACTGTGGTGCAATGGTGTGTCAATCATTGGTTAAGGCAAATTTGTTAAAAATATTTTTCNGTAGTTGTATTAAAATAGGACTGTGGTGCAATGGTGTGTCAATCATTGGTTAAGGCAAATTTTTTAAAAATATTTTGCATCAATTACTAAATTTTATGATATAAATGATGTACACCGAGTGATATTATTCAATAATTATGTTTTTAGAGGAATTTTGTTGATTAATTTTTTAAACAATAGTGGGTCAACATTGATTGACGATCTTTTTCAATTTTTTTATTTGTTAAATTTTTTTGTGTCATATAATGCTTTCAGACATAAGTAATTGCTTGTTGTTCTATTGAGTACAAAGATGGTGAGGCATATTGGCTTGATTTTGGGGATATGGAATGAGTGAATATATTAAATTATTCTTATTAGTTTAAGTTTGGTGTTAATTCAATTTATATTTGTATGATAAATAGTGTTAATAGCACTACTAATGTGATATTATTGATTTAAGTCATGTATATTTACATAATGATCTGATTTTATAAGTTGTACACACAAGTCGATATTATTCAAGGATAATATTTTTAAAACAAAATTTGACAAAATTTTAAGAAAATAATAATTGGTACATACTAACTATTGAAATTTTGTTTGTTATAATAGTTATTTGGATTTGAGTGTGTCATAGGTGGTGAATATAAGTGATGTAAAATTATGATATATACCAAGTTGGATGCGGCCTGACTATTGTTTTCTTTAAGGTGTTTTTTCACTTTCCTCTGGTTCCTATAATGCTAATTCTCCCAAAAAATAAAGTTGATTTTATTTACTAAAATAACTTAAAAGTATTACCAAACTAAGATTGGGCATAATAAGACCCCAAATCTTTTTATTGTACAAAGTAGCAAATGTGCAAATTTGGTTTTTGGATTATTGTTGTGATTGTGTTGCATGGTGGTGGCATTAACTAGTAGATAGATGTGTGAGATAAATTTTTTTAATGTTAGTCAAACTCTTAAAATTTATGAATTTTTAACTTTTAATTATACTTCACTTCCAAAAGGGAAGGGATAATCTGGTAAAATTGACAAAAAACAGACTTTATAATAATTAAGTTTCTTTGACGGACTTAAGTCCAAACAAATCTATATATGAGGATTGACTTCCAAATTTTCCTAAAAACAACTTTTTTTTTTTTTTTTTATAAATCACATTAACGCCNGATAGATGTGTGAGATAAATTTTTTTAATGTTAGTCAAACTCTTAAAATTTATGAATTTTTAATTTTTAATTATAATTCACTTTCAAAAGGGAAGGGATATTCTGGTAAAATTGACAAAAAACAGACTTTATAATAAATAAGTTTCCTTGACGGACTTAAGTCCAAACAAATCTATATATGAGGACTGACTTCCAAATTTTCCTAAAAACAACTCGTTTTTTTTTTTTTTATAAATCACATTAACGCCCCATGATCTTTTAGATTCAATAATTTATCTTAAGACTTATGTTTTAACAACATTAAATCTTTAATCACACCTAATTAAAAAAATTTAGTCACTCTCAGCCCATAAACAAACTTCCTAGACCAGTCACTGAATTTTATGAGCTGGGCTAAGAGGTCCATGATGGGCTCCCAGTCCATTGTCAATCCTTAGCTTACCTCACTTTTAAGTTTGGGCTTATGGCTTATAGGTGGGCTCATCGGGCACGAGTTGAAGCCCTAACCGCCAACAAGTGACTCAATCAGTGAAACTCTCTCTTGAAAAAGAAAGGAGAGTTGCCAAGTTCTCTCTCTCTCTCTCTCTCTCTCTCTCTCCCCCNTTGAAGCCCTAACCGCCAACAAGTGACTCAATCAGTGAAACTCTCTCTTGAAAAAGAAAGGAGAGTTGCCAAATTCTCTCTCTCTCTCTCTCTCTCTCTCTCTCCCACACTCACACACACACACACACAGAAAGTGAACGCACGGGTAGCAAATATCATTTACAGAGATACAAATGGAATTCAATGTTGAAGACGGCAAACACCTCCACGACGAGTGCTCCACATTAATTCTGGTTTGTTCCAGCAATTTCTCTCTCTTGAATTAGAATTTACATTTCTTTTGTGTATATTCTTCTTCAGTAGCATGAATTTAGGTTACGGTTAGGGTTTTATTTACGTGTTTTCTTGAGTTCAGCCTGCGTTGTCGATTGGTAATGTGGGGCAGCTGGCGGTGGATCTGTTGATATCGTCGATGAGAGCTGATAGAATCGGTTACTTAGATGATCCAAACGTTCTTCCCTGCGTCGGCAACGATGCGTATATCCCTTCACCTCAAGGCGACCTTGCTCTCCCTCTCGAAGGTCTCCCTCGATCTTTTATTTCAAATTTTTTGTCCACTCACACGTATCGTGTTTATGTAATGCGTTTTTGAATTTTACTTGTTGGGATTGCAGCTTACGATTCATGTTCTAATTCATTGTGTCTTATCCAACAGAGATCTCCGACTGTTAAGGTATAATGTTTGTGGCGTTCGTTGCTTTTTTTAGGATTTTCCTCCTATTGTAGACCAAGTAAGAAGTATCATTACTTTATAAGCCAACGATCAGCAAATCTGCTAGCTGAGGCCTTCACTGTAGTGTATTATTAACTCTGGTGCAGCGCGTTAAACCATATAGATAGGATCTTTAGTGCTTATTGGGTTTTCTAGTCACTTTGGATGTACATAAGGAGACAGAGATAGGACCATAGACTAATTTGGATTGTAATGCCTTTGATACTTGTACGTCAAACACTGAGTTTTTATCCGGCTAATCAAACAGGGGATGATGGTTGAACTTGCTAAGAATTTGGCTGATTTTGCTGCTGCTAGCGGAAAGAAGCATATTGTGGTGCTATCTAGCTTAGATTTTGGGCGGTGGCAGACAATTGATGTCTCAAGGTATTCAAAGTTCTAAGTTTTAGGGTATTTATTTGCTGGCAGATCCTTTTTACCCTTCCTTTTTTTAACGAAAAATCTCCAACTCTTAAACCCCACTTCCATGCTGCAATGGCTCTGGCATCTATGCAGTGCAGAGCCATTGAGACTTACCTGGTTTGGCCTCACATTTAGGCATCCCAGGACGCCTAGGTGACTGACCCTTGGACATTATAAGGTAGGATATGTATGGCTGGGTTTCTGGGCACTCATCTAGGCAATTTGATAATGAGATGAACAGGCCTCAGGTCATGAATTTAGTGGTCCAGATAATGGCAAACTTGCAAAACAAAACATCATGTGTCGTGCTTGTCAATACACCTGTGACATTTTGTACCTTATTAATGATCTAATCGCAAACTTTAGCAGATATATTTTTCTTTTTCCTCTTCTTTTCTTGTGGCATTCATAGGGAAGATCTGGGCTGGACTTTAAGCGTCCACTGAGTCTTCTTCTGGTAGGGGGAAGGGGAATTCAACATGATATAAAATTTTATAGCTTATGTGACTCGTTATAGCAAGTACTTCAAGCCATTATGCATGTCAGCTAAGCTGTGAGGTTTAAGGCCATACTTAATTCATGGCATATATTATTATTTTATTTGTTGCCCTCTCTCTCTCTCTCACACACACACACAAAAAAAAAAAAAAAAAAAAAACAAACATAGACTTTGCATACAAGCACACATTTCTTTTGCCCTGATTTTTGGGACCTCTTTTGAATGCGTTTCTTGTGTGATTGCCCAAGCGATAGCATGATCTATTTTTTCCATGCAATTTACTACATTGAATGATTATAAGATGATTTTGCAGTGGTTCGCAGATATATTACCTCTCTAGTGCCTGTATGGATGGAACAGATGATAATTGTGACAAACTTGGGTGGAAAAGACTGCAGGACTACAATCCTGTTCAGAGGGGGTGGAAGTATATTAGCACCTTAGCTGAAGGTAATTCTGTGCTGGAAGACAGTTTGCCTTTTGAAGATGAACTGGGTGAAGAGGATTACTACCCAAGTTTGCCTTTTGCAGCACTATTTTCTTGTTTCAAGGTAATGTTTTCTAAGCTTTGCTGCATTGAACTAATTTGCAAATATCTTCGTAACATTCATAAGAATCATCCCTCTACCATACACCATGTCTTAACGGGGTTTTAGGATCACATTAACTTCATTGTATGCAAATAATTGATGAATTCTATGAGAAACGTGAATTAAAAAGCCTATTAAGACATGCACTAGACCTGAAGTATAATTCTTATGAAGATATGAATTGAGAATTCACTCCTTAATATGTCGTTTCCCCTTAAAAGTACACAATTTTGGATCCTAGGCTCTTATGATATGTTGTGCTTTGGAGGTGTCAACTTTATTCGCTAATTGTATGCTTGGCTTTTGTTCTCAAGCGAGAGTTTTTTTTTTTTTGGTTTTATTTGGTAGAAGAAACCTGTGACAATCACTGCAGTGAACTCCATGATGTTGGATTTGAGTTTTGATTAAGACATTTGATGGATTCTGTGTAATGGGCTAATACACCTGGTTCTGTTCTTTCATGAAAAAAAAATAAAAAATTGTATGCTTGGCATATATATGAAATTATTTTATACGAAGGGAGGCGTCTTATTGTTTAAAGAGACTTGAAGTTTTTTGGATCCTAGGCTCTTATGATATGTTGTGCTTTGGAGGTGTCAACTTTATCTGCTAATTGTATGCTTGGCATATATATGGAATTATTTTATACGGAGAGAGGCGTCTTATTGTTTAAAGAGACTTGAAGTTTTTAGGAGTGACATCTGTCTCACTCCTTCTCACCCAAAAATGTACGCACACACACACCAGAAAAAGAACATATCTCATAAGGTTTCTACGAATTGATTCTCTCTTGCGGAGATGGTTGTCATAGTTTGGGATGAAGGTGTGTCTGCTAATACCTTTATTTTCACTCTCATTGCCTATCTATCCTGATTACAAACTTGAAGTCAATGTTGTGGCATTTGAAAATATTGAGGACCAAGTTGAATCATGTCACAGAAGGATTTTGGGTTATTTTGTCAGGCCAAAGGGTTGAAGGTCACCTGCTTATTATGTTATTGCTCTGAAGGAGATAATATACCCGATGCTTTCCACTTGGCTGACGCAGCATGCAAACTTTTGGGGCTGAACCCTACTAATTTTCAAGGTGAGTTTGATCTAGCATCCCCCCTTCCCTTTTTTCCCGCGCATGAGGTTTTCCTCACGCAATTATATTATTGGCTGCACCAGCTTGCGTAATATGATCCAAAACATAAATTAGTCAACAACCATTATATGTTGGTCCAACATCTGCAGCAGACCCCTCCCGTCATTTATTCTCAACCATAACGAAATGACGTTAAATGTCTTCTAAACTAGGAATAACTATGGATTGGAACTTGAGAGTTCGAGGAAAGTTAAGTATACATAACTACAAAATGGGGCAGATCACTGATATGGATGACATTTGTAGCATGTAGAGTGGGAAGCTGAAGTGACCTCTGGGGGAAATTACCTTGTCAAAGATATGCAACGGTTTAGTAGTAGTAAAAGGAATCAGACTTATTTTGACTTTGTTGGCTTTGTTCAGGCAATGATGGTGGTAATTGGATCATTCCATTTTCATGGAAGAGTGTGTATGGACCACCACCAGATATGTCTCTCTTCTAGGTTGGAACAAGGTAAATGTCTGCAGAGATACAAAACTTATGGTTTCAGCATTTGGCATGGTAATATTACTTTCAATATGCCATTTTGTTGCTTTTCGTCCCTGCTAGTGATAGGGAAGCATGTATCATAGGGCCAGAAGCGAAGATACTAATGATTGTTTGCAAATTGAATTGAATATTCATCTTACGTATGCTAGAATGAAAGCTTGCCTATTTTATGGTTAGAAAGTTAATTTGTGTTGAAGGTACATATCCGCGTCCTTTGTTTTTTTGAGATCTTAAAAGTTTAAATTCCCCCCCCCCCCCCCCCCACAAAAAAAAAACCCAGTGGGGGGTGTTTAGAGGGTATGAACGTTGTGGGACCCTTTTTAGCAGTAAATATTGGGTGTAATGGTTACACCACATTAATATTGTCACATTGTGTAAATTGGGCAACTAACAACACTTTTTGAATATATGACTGTTACTATCTTAACATTTTAAATGAAGGGATGGTTATGTGAAGGAGTGGGGGGTCTATTTTGTCTCATTGTTAAGTTATCATTTGTCGGTTACACCGCGTGACAATATTGACGTAGTGTAACTATTACATCAATATTTTTGCTAGAATGATTTTTATTTTTTTTGGAGATAAATATGATAATTGGTCCTTAAACTTTATCTCTAGTTTTAATTTAGTCCATGAACCCTCAACTGTCTAAATTTAGTCCTTAACCTATCAATTTTGTCTTAATTAAGTTCCTAATTCTATTTTCACCGTTGGATCAATCAAAAATTAGTTTAATCTGTTTCATTTCAAACATTAAATCAAATGTTTTAGTTTTGATCAAGACACTTGGGGATTTCCCGTTTCTGCACAAGGTGTACATCAAACCAGCTGTTGAGTTTTTGTGCTCGTCGTCAATCTGCCGAGTTGAATCAATGTAATGCGCAGGTAACAATGGGCAGAGCAGGAATGTGAGAAATTGGCTCCAACTTTCCCAAGAAAAATCAGGTTTTCCGCACTTTTTATGGGAAACAGAATGGGTTCCTTACTGGAAAATTTTGTGGGACCAGGAAGCTGTTTTTTTTTGTTTTCTTTCATATTCCACTATTTNAAAAAAAAAACCCAGTGGGGGGTGTTTAGAGGGTATGAACGTTGTGGGACCCTTTTTAGCAGTAAATATTGGGTGTAATGGTTACACCACATTAATATTGTCACATTGTGTAAATTGGGCAACTAACAACACTTTTTGAATATATGACTGTTACTATCTTAACATTTTAAATGAAGGGATGGTTATGTGAAGGAGTGGGGGGTCTATTTTGTCTCATTGTTAAGTTATCATTTGTCGGTTACACCACGTGACAATATTGACGTAGTGTAACTATTACATCAATATTTTTGCTAGAATGATTTTTTTTTTTTTTTTTTTGGAGATAAATATGATAATTGGTCCTTAAACTTTATCTCTAGTTTTAATTTAGTCCATGAACTCTCAACTGTCTAAATTTAGTCCTTAACCTATCAATTTTATCTTAATTAAGTTCCTAATTCTATTTTCACCGTTGGATCAATCAAAAATTAGTTTAATCTGTTTCATTTCAAACATTAAATCAAATGTTTTAGTTTTGATCAAGACACTTGGGGATTTCCCGTTTCTGCACAAGGTGTACATCAAACCAGCTGTTGAGTTTTTGTGCTCGTCGTCAATCTGCCGAGTTGAATCAATGTAATGCGCAGGTAACAATGGGCAGAGCAGGAATGTGAGAAATTGGCTCCAACTTTCCCAAGAAAAATCAGGTTTTCCGCACTTTTTATGGGAAACAGAATGGGTTCCTTACTGGAAAATTTTGTGGGACCAGGAAGCTGTTTTTTTTTTGTTTTCTTTCATATTCCACTATTTTTCCTCCTAAACAAACAAGGGCAAGTTTTTTTTTCCCCCTCTTTCCCCTGTTTTCTACCACTCTTTTGCAAACCAAACGAAGAATAGAAGACTTCTAAACTAGGAATAATTAAGAACTGGGACTTGAAAGGAAAATCAAGGATACATGGCGACGAAATGTTATAGGNGAAGCTGTTTTTTTTTTGTTTTCTTTCATATTCCACTATTTTTCCTCCTAAACAAACAAGGGCAAGTTTTTTTTTCCCCCTCTTTCCCCTGTTTTCTACCACTCTTTTGCAAACCAAACGAAGAATAGAAGACTTCTAAACTAGGAATAATTAAGAACTGGGACTTGAAATGAAAGTGAAGGATACATGGCGACGAAATGTTATAGGTGGCTAGCATAGCATGGATGACATTTCTAGCATGTGAAAGGAGGTTGTTGCAAATTAAAAATCTTGTGCAAAGCAGCTTGTATTGCAAGGCATGAAAATTCATTTCACATTTTAGATTTCCAACCTATCCAAGGGGGTTTTTTTTGGGTCATGGCATGTTATCATTCAACATTTTATAAAATATGGACGGTAGACGTGGGAAGTTGAAGATATGATGAAAGTAGAAATGGGCAACGTGGATGTGCATGTGCTAACTGCAATCATCTTCTTAAATTATGGTAGGAGAGTTTAGTTTTTTTTAAAGTACAGCTACTGTGGAGAGAGAGAGAGAGAGAGAGAGAGTAAACTTATAATTATTTTTTAGTCTATGTCGAAAACTAATCAACTTTAATATGTTTTTTTTTGTATTGAGTTCGTGTTAATTTATTGGGATCAAAATATCATCCCCATTAGGTCTAGATGGGTAGTAATTTTATTTAGTCGGTAATGCCTAAGCAAGTACCCCTCTCCTTGACAGTAAAGGTAAGGATATAAAGACAGACAATGTATATCTTCTCATTAATAAGGTTATAAACTAGAAGTCACGCAAGTTCAATATTAGAACTACTATAAATCCAACAACTCTCGTAGATTAGGCTAACAAGTTATGTTAATAAAGTAAATATGAATCATAATTTTCAAGTCAAACTCGAGATAAACTCTAATTTTTATTTAAATAAATAATGCGTCATTGGCTTGTCCGATGTACTCCATTAAATAATGCAAATGATGCCATACATTTTCACATGGAGCATGCATTAGTGCGGGCAAAAATTTGAACAATCACTAAAATATTAACGGTGCGATCTTGGTCTTTGAATATCATCNTCATTCAACATTTTATAAAATATGGACGGTAGACGTGGGAAGTTGAAGATATGATGAAAGTAGAAATGGGCAACGTGGATGTGCATGTGCTAACTGCAATCATCTTCTTAAATTATGGTAGGCGAGTTTAGTTTTTTTTAAAGTACAACTACTATGGAGAGAGAGAGAGAGAGAGAGAGAGAGAGAGAGAGAGTAAACTTATAATTATTTTTTAGTCTATGTCGAAAACTAATCAACTTTAATATGTTTTTTTTTGTATTGAGTTCGTGTTAATTTATTGGGATCAAAATATCATCCCCATTAGGTCTAGATGGGTAGTAATATTATTTAGTCGGTAATGCCTAAGCAAGTACCCCTCTCCTTGACAGTAAAGGTAAGGATATAAAGACAGACAATGTATATCTTCTCATTAATAAGGTTATAAACTAGAAGTCACGCAAGTTCAATATTAGAACTACTATAAATCCAACAACTCTCGTAGATTAGGCTAACAAGTTATGTTAATAAAGTAAATATGAATCATAATTTTCAAGTCAAACTCGAGATAAACTCTAATTTTTATTTAAATAAATAATGCGTCATTGCCTTGTCCGATGTACTCCATTAAATAATGCAAATGATGCCATACATTTTCACATGGAGCATGCATTAGTGCGGGCAAAAATTTGAACAATCACTAAAATATTAACGGTGCGATCTTGGTCTTTGAATATCATCTAATTCATGAGCTGTAAAATCAAAGAGATGTTAGAGGGATTCTCGGCGTTGAGCTAGGGGAGGCCCTTCCGATACCTAAGTCAGTATTGCAATAAATATATGAATAGACTAGTGTATAAAACTAGAAAAATGAATAAAGGTGTGTGTATGGAGTATGAAACCGAGGTGCTCATACTTGAGGCCTCCCTCCCTTTGGATCTTCACCCCTCTTTATAGAAAAAGTGGAGAGCTACTTATTTTGAAGAGGTCATACTTCTTAGATTGATATATTCTTGAGATATGTGTCTCCGTAGGTATTAAAAATTGTGCTAGACTTCAATTGGTCAATCAAGAAGGCTGACAGTTTTGTGTTACCTTGAGAAGAGAAATTATGGGTCTTATTATGATACACTCATGTGATGTGGAGCCCTCTCATTTGATGCAAAATATGGTCCATCAACTGTCCCAACTTTTATTTTCTTTGTAATACTGGAAGGGAATGANATAAGGTTATAAACTAGAAGTCACGCAAGTTCAATATTAGAACTACTATAAATCCAACAACTCTCGTAGATTAGGCTAACAAGTTATGTTAATAAAGTAAATATGAATCATAATTTTCAAGTCAAACTCGAGATAAACTCTAATTTTTATTTAAATAAATAATGCGTCATTGCCTTGTCCGATGTACTCCATTAAATAATGCAAACGATGCCATACATTTTCACATGGAGCATGCATTAGTGCGGGCAAAAATTTGAACAATCACTAAAATATTAACGGTGTGATCTTGGTCTTTGAATATCATCTAATTCATGAGCTGTAAAATCAAAGAGATGTTAGAGGGATTCTCGGCGTTGAGCTAGGGGAGGCCCTTCCGATACCTAAGTCAGTATTACAATAAATATATGAATAGACTAGTGTATAAAACTAGAAAAATGAATAAAGGTGTGTGTATGGAGTATGAAACCGAGGTGCTCATACTTGAGGCCTCCCTCCCTTTGGGTCTTCACCCCTCTTTATAGAAAAAGTGGAGAGCTACTTATTTTGAAGAGGTCATACTTCTTAGATTGATACATTCTTGAGATATGTGTCTCCGTAGGTATTAAAAATTGTGCTAGACTTCAATTGGTCAATCAAGAAGGCTGACAGTTTTGTGTTGCCTTGAGAAGAGAAATTATGGGTCTTATTATGATACACTCATGTGATGTGGAGCCCTCTCCTTTGATGCAAAATATGGTCCATCAACTGTCCCAACTTTTATTTTCTGTGTAATATTGGAAGGGAATAAAAGTTATGAAGAATATTCATGCTGCCTTTGATAAGATCTAGCTTAGGATAGATATGTCGAGATCTACCATATGTCATCGAAGTGATCTTGAAGCCCGAATCAAATAGATAATAACATGCATAGAGTTCTAATGCATTTTTCATTCCTAATA